AACTTTAATTGTTATGATTATGCTAAGAATACAAAATGAGCCCTTGACTACATGTAGGAGCTTTCAGCTTGAATACATTGCTTTTTTTAGAAGAGATTTACAGGCAAAGGATATCAATGTTTCAAATCTGTCAAAGTCATTTGAATTTGAATGAGATTCAAACATTAAATCCAGGCAATCAACTGTGAAATCACTGAATCAAGACTGTAATGGGCTCCTGAATGCAATGCAGTCTCATTGAAACAAAGGTACAKGTGTGTTAGTGTGACATACCAGCCCTGGCTCCCATACTAGCTCCTGCTACAAGACAACCTTCAATTAGTTTGTGAGGATCATTTCTCATAATTTCTCTGTCTTTACARGTTCCTGGTTCACCCTCATCTGCATTAACCACCAAATATTTGGGTCTATAAAACCATAATAATCAATATTTACAATGAACAAGTACATTAATGCTGTATCAGTGTAAAACATCACAGTAGAGTTAAGCCAAGAATTTTAATTTATGCTCCTAAATTTACAAATTACAAAAAAACACAAAAAGTAAATTGCTGCAAGGCAMGATCAACTTAATCAAGCTCAAAACATCTTTCTAGTCCATCTGAGGTCAAAACARTGGATTGTAAGGAAAACAAAAATCTTTTATTTTGTCATATCAAATTGGTTTTCTGTCACATAAAAGGAGTTGATATTATATTAAGTACCTTCCATCAGATGGTTTGTTCATGAAGCCCCATTTCATTCCAGTAGGAAAACCTGCTCCACCTCTTCCTCTWAGACCAGACTTGGTTATCTCAGCCAGTATCCATTCAGGTCCTTTGAGAATGATTTCCTTTGTCTTGTAATAGTCACCCTACATTTACATGAAACACATATTATAATCACATATAACAATATTATAATACTCCAGTTTCGAATTCTCCAATGCTCTGTGTTAGCCTCATTTGTGAGCAAAATAATCCTTATTGTGAGCGTAAAAGTGTGAGATTTCAAATCAATTCTATTGTCTTTCTTCACAAATTCCATGCGTTTTCTCGAGTTATCAATGAAACAAAAGAATATGTTACTTGGTTTTGAGGCTAACACAGAGCAAACCAGAACTCGAAATTGGAGTATTTCAAGACTACATGTACATTCTATTAATTAATACAAAATTCAGTTCTCTGAAAATAACTTGGAACCTTTTCTTTGACATTAAAATGCATTTTGGACCAAATACAATGCCATAATGAATCAAATAATATTTTTAATTGTATATGAATTAACAGATACTGTATTGCACTTATACTTATTCCATCACACAATGTTCATGAAAAATTAAGGAATTTGGACATTAATCTTATGGTCAGGAAGAGAATTGTTACTTTTATGTAGCTTTTGATGACTATAGTTACAAGAATGAATTGACACATTGGCACCAGCAACTTACCCTAGCCATAGCACCCTTCAGCTTCCAGTCATGTCGACCATAAAGATTTGTAAAGATTCTGTCCTCATCCTGAATAACATAAAGAAATGAAAAAAATAGTCAAACCCTAGAGAACAAGCTACTATGAATAATCCATAATGACACTTACTTTGAGATCCCCAAATGACCTTTGTGGCTGAAAAACAAGCAAGCATAAAATGAAAATTCAGTTTATTTTTTATGCACCTCTCAATGTTTTGCCCCAGGGTGGGGGGGGCAAACCCCAGGGATTTGATTTTTAAAAACCCTGGAGAGGGGATTTCGAT